TGTTTTATTTAATTAAACTCAACTCAAAATTTACAAAATTATTTTATTAAATATTGATATATTAAAATATAGGATATGTTTTCAAATTTAGATATTAATATTTACTAAAATAAAATTTTAGTTTTCAAATATAAATTATGATTCTAATTATTTTTAAAAATCGAAACTAATATGCACTAATCTCATTAAATAAAATGATATAATTTAAGAATAAAACTTTAATTTATGATTAGAGTTAAGGTTTATATATATATATTTAAATTTAGAAACCTATTATATATTTTAATATATCAACATTTAATAATATAATTTTTTAAATTTTAAATTAAGTTTTAATTAAATAAAACTATATAATTTAAGGATAAAACTTTAATTATTTTTAAAAATTGAAATTGATATGTACTTTTTTTTCCATTTAAAAATATCATTACCTAAAATAAAAAAAGGTAATTTGGTACTTTAAGCTTAGATGTATCTATTATCAAGATTAAGTTTAGTTTCCTTAGTGCACTTGTATCTAAAACAACTCAACCACAGGGACTAATGAAATGTTATTGAATTTGGTTGGGATTGTAGACAAGAGGGACTAATGAAATTTTATTGTAAACTTTTTTTCTTTTTATTAGGTAAGAAGTTCATATTAGAAAAGTTTGTGGAAAAATGTCGAATGGGTTCTAGCTTAAGAATTTTAGGAAAAAATTTTCTTTTTAAAGGTTCATTTGGATTAATGGTTGATATTCAGTGTATAGTTGACAACTAATGATCAATAGATAATAACTGATGATCGATAGTTGATAATTGATAATTGATAATTAATAGTAGTTGTTTGTAATTAGTGTTTAGTAATAGAGTTATTAACTGTTTTTGAATGTTAAATTACTATTAAAAATATATTTAATATTAGTTAAATTAGTTCTTTATTCAAAATTAGTTAAATTAGTTAAATTAATATTAGTTCTACCAAAAGGAGAAATAGAAACAGGGAATTTGATAGAAGGATCTTGAAGGTTTAAATTTAAGAGTATAAAGTAACTGAATAATAATAAAAAAAATCCTCAAATGCTTTTAAGTCTAACAACCACCCGATGTGATTGTTGAAAAATGCAACTATTGAAGAGTTTAATGGTTGTTAGTTGATTTCTAACAACTAATAACAAGCCTT